CTATTTTTCTCTTCACAAAAAAAATAAATAAAATTAAATAAAAAAAAACATAATGGTGTGGAGGGGATGGCTATAAGGGGAGAAGGGAGGCCATCCAAAAAAAATGTCAGAATTCATATGATGCTGCTACAGCTGATATATATGTTGTCAAAATACCTTTTAGGACATACAATATGTTGTTAAAATAAAATGAACAGTCCAATGATCATTTTACTGATATGTATAAAGACTGCAAAGGCTGAAAAATCTTGGTCTGTATGAAATTGGAGGTAGTTTGAGGATTAAAATTTTATGCTTTTTAAGCTAAAAAAAGGGGGGGTCTTATTATACATGAATAAATATGGTAATCTAAAGTATTTTAAATGAATTCTGTTGGGCTGAACAGTTTAACATGATCTACACTGAGCTAAATTCTCTGAGCACGTGGTTTTATTTCCGTTGATTGGAGGAGCTCAGATCTGGACCTCGGACTCGTTGGCAGCGCAGCCAGATCTGGCAGTTTGTTGACAAGTGCAGGACTCGGAGCCTTTACCCGAGCCGTGTGCTGAAACCCAGACATGCAGCGTGTCTCTCAGCGCACCGCCAGGAACCTAATTCTCAGCTACGCTGCGTGTAACACGATGACGGAGGGAGGCAACCCATGGGTTCAGACTGGCCCGGTGCTTCGCTGTGACAGCCCTCAGGCTCCGGTTTCCACTCCTACCTGCATGAGTTCAGGGAACGCCAGGTTGAGTTTTAGTTTTTTACATCTGAAAGCCAATACCAGACCACTGACTCCGAGAGGTCTTGTGTTTCCATCTTGAAAAAAAAAAAAACTAAATTGAGTTCTCTTTGAGAATAAAAGGACAACTGAGAGATAAAATAGCATTTAGGTCCTGATCATGGCCGTGTAATGAGCAGTGTTGGTTAAATGAAGGCAGGCAGAGCATGATGGGAATGCAGGTGCAAGTAAAAACTCAGTGTTTGTGTCTGCACTCTGTCTGTGTGTCCCTTTGTCTTCATCTTTATTTGATTCCTGCTAGCAGACAGAGAGGATTCCTCTTTTGTGCCGACACAAACCAGAACTTTATGACCCAGTTGGTTTTTAGCAGATGAGCTCAGCAGTTTATTTTAAGAGGAGATGTTTTATTGAAAGTGGACGCTTCATTTCTGTGTTTTGAAACTTACAGGAGAAATAATAAGGTGGAAAGTAAAAACATTAAATGTCTGTATTATTTCTCATTTTAGCTTTTTTAAAAAGCTGATACCAAGTCTTTATTTCTGTCGGACTCCTGCCTCTTTTCTCTCAAATGTTCACCTTTTTAACAGTGTATCATCAGTTTTTATCTCTGTTAAATAAACCTTTCTTTAGTTTTGCTGTATTTGTCACTCTGAAGCAGGGCTGGGCAGTCCTGGTCCATGGGGTCCACTATCCTGCATGTTTTACTTGTTTCTCTGCTCCAACACCTGATTCAGTGATTGAATGACCTCTTCAAGTTCTGCAGAAGACTGTTAATCACTCAATCATTCAGACCTGCTGTGTTGGAGCAGAGAGACTAGGGTCCTAAAAAATGAAAAAAGGTGGAATAAAAAAATTCTAAATTCCACTTTTTACATTTTCTCCCATGAATTCCACATTTTCATTGTAATTATATTTAATAACTTCCTGTCCTGATGCATCTCAGTAATCCAGGTAAAAAATCAAAAAGAAATAAATTGTATAGGTCCTCTGGACGGGTTCTTCTCTAATGAAATGTTTCGTCTCTCCTCCAAGAGACTTCTTCAGTCTGAGAGTTTCAGGCAAAATTC